AGTGAGATGGTTTTTATCATGGCCGAACTCCAATATAACCGAAGTAATTATGATCATGCCGAGCCACAGAGTAGACCGAACCATCTTTAGTTCGGTTCTCCTTTCACTACTTCTTATCTCGGTTCCTCATGTACAAAGAATGGCGTGGTTAGACCGAACTACCGAGTAGCAAAGTTCTAACCGGTCTAACCACAATACGTCATGACCGGGCGAACTCCGAGACCGGTCTAACTTCAAAGCGTCTTCCAACCGGCCTAACTCCAAGTCGCTTCCGGACCGGAGTAACATTACATTTCTCTCGGGCCGGAGTAACTTTGTACCTCTCTCGGGCCGGAGAAACTTTACAGCCTTTTTACTCAGCCCTTCGTATTGTGGGCCATAATGACCATTTCCCAGCTCGGCCCAATTTTCACATAAATTACCCTCTCATGAAGGTTGTGAGTTTTCCTTGGATGTACTTGAGTTTACTATCTTCCATTGTACAAATGCTTTTGTATGTAGTAAAATTTACACATTTTATGAAATTTGTTATGTTCTTGAAGTGATTATATATTCCTTACCAACTAAAAAAATTGTTTATTAGAAATTTAAAGAACGGAAGTTATATCATACTTACATGTTGGATTTCAACTCATATTCTTTAGTACGAAATTAATCCATTCAACTCGCATTTTATCAAGTTCGGTTTCCGTGTAAGTCTTTTTTCCATTGAACTGCAAGAGGTTATTTAGAAACAATTAGATAATGAAAAAGATGTACAAGTATCATGAATAAAATAGTAATAAAAGTTTAAAATTTATCTCACATTTTGTTTTCTTAGGATGCTTTGATCTCTAATGAGGTCTTTCATATACCTCATTACATAAAACCCACATTCCACATTTATAGGTTGTTGCGGGGACTACATGAAAGCATTTTCATTATTATTAGAAACTACATATAAAGTGTTATTATCAAGTTGAACAACCATGAGCATAAATATAAGTATGATAAAATTAGAGAAAATGATACTGATTACCTGAACTACTTTCCAAACTGAATTGGTCTTCCTCCTTCTTTGGGTAGTTTCATAAATTTTCAAAGCACTTTACAAAAGACATTTTAGAAGTTAAAATATTTTTAGGGTAACTGAAATTGCTTAAAAATGTACGAACCAACCAAACTTACGTGCTTATTACAATTTCAAGGGTTGTGTTTATTTTAGAATGAATTGGGTCAAGCAAGTACACAATCATCAATGTTAGATCAATGATTAACAATATCCAGTGGTACCTAAAATTGAACAAGTCACAAATATAAGCTTACTAAGTTTAATATCCTTTGAACTTGTTCTAGAATAGCCTCTTCTAATCTTCTTGCATGCAACATTGATTTTGATTTCTCCCCAGCCATAGTTTTTCCACTAACGACACAAGGGTTAACAAATATAAATTGTTTCTTACAATTGAAAGCCTTCAACACTTGATGGAGATGACTAATAAAACAAACAAATGTTAATTAAATTCGTAATTCATAAAATCTATAGAAATAACTATTGATGTAGCAAATTCTCCTTGCCTTATGTACAACATGATACATGTAACAGATAATTCTTTTACATGACATATGTACTCCATGTCTACTATTTGAAGTTGGATATTGATCTCCTCCCCAAATATGTCTTTCTCTAGTGGAATGTCTATAGCTTCATCATACTTGATAAGCTCAACTAATGCAACAAAAGCTTGAATGGACTTTTGATATTTTCCACATTCAACATTAATTGAAGCTCTCTAAGTTAAAAAATTTCAAAATAAACAAATGTAAGTCAATTTTAATTTTAAGCAAGTGTAATAAAGTTTCTAAGTTTAAATATTTTACCTCATCACCGACCAATACAAGATTTTTGGGCCAAGCAACAAAAAATCTCATAGCTTCTCCAACAATAAACATCTCATCTGGGATAGGTATAGGAATAGGGGCATCTTTTTGAATAACAACTTGAATAGACACACGTACATTGGATTCTCCTAATGGCACTGTATGAATGGCTGCATTAGGTTCAATTCTCTCATACACCGTACCATGAGCAACAATATTTACAATGGAACCTACCGCAAGTTCACACGGTTTGCCCTATAACACACAAAATTAGCAATGGAACTTCTAAGAATATCACTAACGATATTAGAAATTATAACAACATCAATATATAAAAACTACACACCTTTCTGTTATTTTGTTTTGGATCTTGAGGTGAAATGTCGTCCTTAGTTCTCACCCTATTTTCTGCTAAGATAGAATCATGTTGAAAATTGCCTCTACCACCACTTTTCAACGTGTTTGAACATTTGCTCTATAACAAACACATAGATAACAACAAAAGCACTAATTTAATCACTAACAGTATTAGAAAATATAACAACTTTAGGTGTTCTAAATGGGTCACACCTTTATGATCTTTTGGGTAGGAGCTTGGGGTGGAATGGCATCTTTAGTTCTCACTCCGCTTTCTATTAAGAGAAAATCAGGCTGAAAATTTCCTTCATAACCACTTCTCAAGGTGTTTGAACTAACATGTTCAGATTATGGTGTATGTGGTGTTTGTTGTTCCACTGCATGAAGCCTAGCTTGCAATTGTACCACCACTGCCTCAAGATCATTATATTTCTTCTCCCAATGTAACTGATTCCCACGTCTAGGCAAGTGAAAGTAGGTGCTAGGTGTGACAGAATTTCCTACACCCCTTACTCGACCAGAAGTTTCAGGAGTGCTCAATACCATAGTAAGAATGTCATTGCATCCTTCAATCGTTAAACTCCCATCACTTTTTTGTTTAATCAACTCATCCTACAATACTACATTACTATATAAGAAATATGAACAGTTGAGGTAATATAAAATAAATGCAATCAGTACACACAAATATCTTACAATTCTCGTAGCTTGTTCCATAATTGTCTTGTCATCATATTCTCCATTTTTATTTTGACGAGCCTTTTGGCATGGAACACTTCTATCCAAATCTTCAGTAGATTCGGTCATATGTTTCTATCAATCAAACATACATTAATTTTTAAAAATAATCACATGAAAATTGTTATTAAATTATAAAATTTATAACCACTTACATAGTCTTCTTGAAAGCGAGCATAGCCCTTTCGACTGATTCTATGGTTATACTTATTTTGACTTCGTCTCCATTTCTGAACCTGACTTAAAATCTTTAAAAATGCAACACACTAAGTTAATCCAAGTGTATAGCATTTAATATTGACATTTTAAATAACTAAAGTTTGATTATTTTTACCTCAAACTCTTCTGATAGTCGTCTTCCAAGAAATGAGTCCCAATGTCTTTGTTCAACGAATCCATAAATTGCTGGTGGTTTTGATATGATCTCAAGATTTGACTTGTTTTCACGTATGTACTTGCTAAGTTCTTTCTTGAATGTCCTCCATTTTGAACAAATATAACACTTTTTTCTTACTTCTTTCATCTACTTTGTAGGTTAACTGAGTAATAAAAAAATATAATGTTGAAAAATTCAAATTTTGAGTACACTTAAATACATATTTATTAGTCTTACTTACCTCCACACAACTCCATAATTTTTCTTTCAATTCAGCTGGCACCTCAAACCAGTCTTTATAGCATATTGGAATCATTATGCGAGCCAACACCCTATGATAGCTTGAACATTTGATTGAATTGTTTCCAATCGGTTGACTTTTCTCATTATATTCAATGGCTTTTCGTACTGCAGAACTCCTATCCTTTATTATGTCTGGTAATGTTGTCGAACCTTTACCTTTTTTTTTTATTAGGTTTTGGTTCTGTTGCTGGAAACCATGCATCCTCTCCATCAGTAGGCAACACATGAGAAATATCCATCTTGTGAATAAAATAAAATTAAAAAAAAAAGGTGAAATAGTTAGACAATTAAATATAAAGACATGAAGAAAATGAAACATAAGTCAAACATTTTAGCATGAAAATACAACACTTAGACATACATTCTTACAAAGACATATTTTTTTTTTCATCATGGATTATCGAGCCAAGTTCCCTCACAATCTCTTCACATGTAAGATGACATATCATCAACCACATCTAATGATTCAACTTATGGAAAAACTTTTGTAAAGCCATGATGCTCTATACAAAAATCATTAAACTCATTATCATTTTCACAAGAATATTGTTTTTGAGAAGGTTCTAGCACAACTGACCATCTCAGATCAAGTTGATCTGGTACAAAAAAAACTTGCCTAGCTTGGGAAGCCAAAATGAAGGAATCGTCTTAAGCCTATCCTCCCTAGCTCAACTAATGTGAAACCCAACTCATCCACTCTAATTCCCTTTGTGTTGTCAACTCAATTACACTTAAATACCGGAATCTTGAACATATTGTAGTCAAGTTACCATATCTCAGTAATAACTCCTTAGTAACTCATATCCATAAATACTGGGTTCTTATCCTTGTAACCTGTCACTTGTATTGTTGTTGCCACTAAACTAACTCCACTATTTTGGCTGACTCGTGAGTTATCCCGATCTTTTGTGTGATAACGGCAACCATTGATGATATAGCCAAGAAATTTTATAACATCAAATTGAGGTCCTTGTGCTATCCACTTCAGGTTATTTGAGACATTATTTTGGCCACATAACTCCTTTGAGACTTGTATATGGTTAAATAGTTAGCTAATTTTTCCTTAATAATATTTGTTATTAGAAAAAGATAAATGTTGAATTACCCCAATACCTTTTCATGAAGCCAATACATAAATGTTTTGTTATGCTCAATTTGTAGCCATTTTTGACTTTGTGATTGGCGATTATATTTTAGCTTCAAACAAGCCATATGCTTCCTATCAAATCATGAATAAAGCAATATATTATGAGATAAATCTCTAACTTGTGAGAATGCAATTGTAAAAAATGTACATGAAATATTCTTACTCAATGTATGGTTGAATGTCACTTCTATTTTCTAAGACACAATGATGTGCTTTCTCTTATTCATTACGATTAACAGTAACAACATAACCACTTGATAAAGGCCTTCCAATTTCTATATCATCATCAACTGTTATGTTCCTATTAGAAAGAATCCCGATTGCATCCACTCCAGATAAGTACTTTGCGCAGAACTCAACAGCTTCTTCTACAATATAACTTTCAACAATGCAACCTTCAGGACAATTACAATTACGAACATAACCCCTTAAGATCTTCATGAACCTCTCAAATTGGTACATCCATCTAAAGTGAACTGGCCCACAAAGTCGAACTTCTCTAACAAGATGCACTGTCAAATGCACCATGATATCAAAGAATGAAGGTGGAAAGTACTTTTCAAGCAAACATAATGTGACAACAAGATCTTTTTAAATCTCATATAATTTTTCCACATCCAGCACTTTGCTACAAATAGCATTGAAAAAGAAACATAACCTGATAATGGCATGTCTCACATGCTTAGGTAACACAAATCGTATTGCCACAGGTAATAACTGTTGCATTAATACATGACAATCATGTGATTTTAGACCATAAAGTTTCAAATCTTGCATTGATACATGACTTCCCAAATTTGAAGAGTATCCTTTTGGAACCTTCGGTTCCAATAATGTTGTACATTCTCTTCTTTTCTCCTTTTTAGACAATGTGTAACATGCTTGAGGCAAGTATGTTCGCTTCTTCCAATTTGTGGTGCCAATTCTTCACGCAAACCCATTTCTACAAGATCAATGCGGGAATTAAGGCCATCTTTGTTTTTCCTAGAATATTAAGTAATGTACCAATGAGGCTCTCACACACATACTTCTCAATATGCATAACATCCAAATTATATCGAAAATGTAAGTACTTCCAATATTCAAGATTAAAGAACAATGATTTCTTCTTCCAACATTTTGTACCACCAACATCTAATGCTTTTTTATTTCTCTTTCCCCATATGGTTACAAGCCCTTTAACCTTATTTAATATCTCCTCCCCACTTAATGGTATTGGAGCTAATCCAAACTCTTGCTCACCATTAAAAGCCTTTTTTTGCCTCCGATATGGATAGTACCGCAGAAGAAATTTTCTGTGGCCAGCATATGTGTTCTTCTTTCCATATTTTAATCTGTGAGAACATGTTCCTTCACTACAAATTGGACATGCATAATATCCCTTTACAGTACAACCACTCAAATTGCCTAATGCTGGAAAGTCATTAATTGTCTACAACAATATAGCCTTCAGCCTGAAGTGTTCTTCTTTATAAGCATCATAAGCTTTAACACCTACCTCTCATAACATCTTCAAATCATCAATTAGTGGCGCCAAGTAAACATCAATGTCATTACCAGGTTGTTATGGACTTGATATTAATAATGACGACATCATAAATTTCCTCTTCATACATAACCACGGTGGAAGATTATAGGTAATCATTATAACTGGCCAACAATTATACCTACTGCTAAGGGAACTGTGTGGATTTATTCCATCTATAGAAATAGCTAATCGAAGGTTTCTTGGCTCTGCGGTGAAATCTGGCCACTTGTGGTCTACTAACTTCCGTGATGGAGAATTCGCAGGGTAACACATTATTGCATCAGAATCTCTTTCGTGAGCATGCCATGTCAAATCCTTCGCTATTTTTTGCTGATTAGAACATCCTTTGAAACCTTGGGATAGGTGGAAAATACCATAAAACTTTTGCAGGCACATCTTTTCTAATTTCAGTGGAATTCTTCTTCAACTTCCATCTCGATGTACCACATGTAGGACATAAAGTTACATCTGTGTACTCCTTTCTATAGAGTATGCAATCAGATGGACATGCATGTATTTTCTTATATCCCATTCCCAATGCAGCAAACGTCTCCCCAGCCTCATACATGGATGATGGTATTTCATTGTTCATTGACAGCATATCACCCAACAACGTCAATAGATCTGAAAACCCAGTGGGAGATAGGCCATTTGTAGCCTTGAAGTTATACAGTTTAACAAATGCAGATAACTTGGTAAACTTTGTGCAACCTGGATATAATGGTTTTTCCGCATCTTCAAGTAATTTCTTAAACACTTCAGGATCAGCCATGCAACGATCGTATGCATCTTGTACCATTTCTATTGTTTCAGCTACATTGTCTATAGGAGACATGTCAAATTGTTGTTGGGAAATATCTTGTTCATTTAAACATGGTGATGCCCCACTGGTGACTGTTTCTCCATGCCACATCCATGTGGTATAACTTTGGTCAATACCATTGAAAAATAGATGATTTCTAATCACTCGAATAGGTTGGCTTCTCAAGTTTCCATAGACTCTACAAGGACAACGTATGGATTGAAAATCAATTGCATGGATCATAGCAAAATTAAGAAATTGTTCAACTCCATTCTCATAGTCTTTTGATCTTCTATCCTTGAACATCCAAGACTTGTCCATTTTAAATGTATTTTTGAATACCTATATCAACAAAGAAATTATAATATAAAATAATAAACTAGAGTCTACACAGTTGATAACCTCAAAGGAATGTCATTGAGAAGGCATAATTTCTTTGATAGAACATTAAATGCCTCAATCAAACTTACAACAAAAAATAAATAATAAAAAAAAATACATGATCTTATAACAAATAATTTATCTGTTCTATGAATAATTGCAAATTCAAAAAAAGGAAAAAAAAAATAATTCCACAAAGTCTAAACAATCTAGGAATTAATTATTCAACACTATCATTTATGTTGAACGTTTCACATCCAAGAGGAGCAGTAACTAAGTGCAGTAGCAACTAAGTGCTTAGTTGCATTTATGTTGAATGTTTCATATCCAAGAGAAGTAACAACTAAGTGTAGCAACAACAGTAACTAAGTGCAACAGCAGCAGCAAAAACATTAACAAAACGAAACAAGTCCTTAAGTGCATTACTATCCATTTATGTTTGAATTTAATATAATTTATCCTAATCTAAAACCGAAATGTATTAGCAAATGGGAACATCTACATAGTATTTGGACTATTTGTTGAATGTTGGACTATTATAGAATTGCTATATTTTGGGCTATTTACTTAATTAGGTGTGTTGAGTTGATGCAGTTTTTGGGATACATCATGATGCCTTGGGTCTATTGGCAGGTTGTGTCCCATGTTCACCCCTATTGTCACTTAAGAATTTCAAGATTAGTAGAAAATTGGTTCTCAACAAATACTTTGAATTCAAGAAATTTAGTAAACACTTCACTCTTGTAGTGAAGAGGAAACAACAAAGTGAACTTACTAATTTCATCAACAAAAATGACATGGTACTTGTAACATGTCATAGAAGGTGATAAAGAACCCCAAACATCTGTGTCAATGAGGGCAAGAGATTTATTGTAAGTAGAATTAGATAAGCTAAAGAGAGTCTGTGACTCACTCTTAGACATACAACAGCGAGTGCACATACTTTTACAATGTTTATTAAAAGAAAGTTTATTCATTCTTAGTAAGGTGACGTTGCTTCTGAGATGAGGGATACCCCAATCTGTAGTGCCAATTTGAAGAAGAAGAATTGCTTTGAAACCATAAAGCAATTCATGGAATGAAGAAGCATATCTCTTGAATGAGTTCTATACAGAGTACATAACATACATACATATATTGCATAACCATCTAACTGAACTACAATTCTAATTACTCTATAACCAACTCAACCTAACTGTAGTTAATCCTAACTACATAACTGTGTCAGTTTGGGAGTGGAATGATGAGGTGTAGCCCAACTCACTTAGGTGGTTTGCCTCCCAAACAGGCAGCAACTTGTAGCAGTAGGAAAAACAACTCTGCAACAGCAGCAGCAAAACAACTCTGCACCATGCTTGCTGCTGCATACTGTTTGTAGGATGCTTGAAGGTTGGTAGGCTACTTGTTGTATTGTTGTTGTTGCATACTTGCTGATGCATACTGCTGGCTGCCTGCTGCTGGCAGCACATTGAGTGTAATGTTAGGTGATACAAGCCTTCCACTCAGCAACATAGCTGGCAGGCCTGCAAAAGAATAAGGTCTTTTTTGCAACCTTAAGCAACTTGAATTTTTTCGGTTGGACTGGAAAAACTATCATTTTAATGGGTAATTGTAGCAACACAAACTACTCTTATAATTTTGGAGAGGTTAGTCTCAATGTTTATGTATGTTTCTCAATGCTGTATTGGTAGGCCTAAGCTGTTTTAGCTGAAGTTTGTGCTTTTTGGTAGTCCTAGAGATCATGATTCTGTAATCTCCTTATTTGAAAGATGCTTGTATGTTAGTTTATCAGCCTTGAGAAGGAATGTAGTGCACTTGCAAATTATTTGCAGTGTATGCCAAATATCATTGGCTAGTCTATGAGGAACTTGTAGAGAAAAGAGCACCTTTATTTCTCTGCTACTTTTACAATATATACTTTTCACATATAGCAGGTGGCCAAGTGATAACGAAAAAGGTATCTTATTTGACTCGTTGGTGCACTTTATTCAGCTGTTTGGTTCTTTGAATTTTGGATATCACTTGTCATACTAAATATGTTAATCTGATTTGTGATGATTGGCTTTATACTAGTCTTTTCCTTACACGTACAGTTCCTTTGAACACATGCAATAAATAGTTTAAGAATAAAATTGATTATGATTTTGATCATTTGGAAAAATAAAATTGATCATTATCTTATAAATTATTTATAACAATTTATCCTACTTTGATGTTTCTTTTGAGCCTAAATTAGAGTTTAAATAGGTACTGAATCAAGCCCAAAACAGCAGCAGCAAAGCAGCAAGGCAGCAAAGTAAAACAGCCTAGTGGTCACTTGCAGAAAGGAAATTCGAACAACAATGTACCTTAATCGTGCAATCTGTAGAGCTAGTACAAAACCATGTATTACTTGGATCAAATGCAATAGATCTCACCCAACTCAAATGGCCACTAATCACCTACATAAGTTAATATTTTAGAATGTCATAGAACATATGGTATAGATAAGCAAGTTTACAAACATAAATTGAGATAAAAGGAAACAAAAGATAAGAAACCATATGAATTATGACTAGCAAATAAAGTTCATAGGAACAAAAAAGGACCGTAATCTCTTCCTTTCCAAGTCATACAACACACTTTTAAGTCGCTATTAGTAATATGATGAATTAAAGACTTGAGGAAGTTAATCTACATCTTAGAGGAAAGAGATCGAACTCTCTTTGGTTCTAATCCAATCTATTGTTATGACACTGTCCAAACAGGCTCAGATTGTTCATTCTACCATCTTGGTGACTACTAATTCTAAGACCAAAATGCTATCTCGAAAGAGTGCGTACATGTATCCTGCCAAATATCAAAGCCACTCCACTAAGCAGAGCAAGAAAGAGGCGTTGTACCGCGATTCAATTTAATATGTGTTTGAGCCTCTTGGAAACTTCAGAACATTTGTCTTTATTGTTTTATTCCTAGTCCAAGACATAATTTTCAGCTTCTTCAAAACCATGGCATTCCCAAAAGATACTTTACCAACTTCATTTCACCTTACACCCTGTAAATCTGCTAAATTCTTGGGTCTGGAGGAAACTTTTGTCCTTAGGAGAGTCCTTGTTCCACTTAATTCAATGCAAGATTGGCAATGGTGAAGGGACCTTTTTTTATGGTATAACAACTGGCATCCTTTTGGGTCCTTATGGTCTAGGTATGGTAATAGTCTCTTGATTGACACTGCTTTATATAGGCAAGCCAAGGTGGTTTCTATTGGTGAGGGACCAACAAATACACAGCAGAGCTAACAGTACTGAGACAGATACACAGCAGAGCTAACAGTACTAAGACAGATACACAGTAGAGCTAACATGTCTAGCAGATAACAGCACAAAGGCTCAAAGTCAGATAGATACATACACAGTCAGCAGATAGATATACAGCCAGGACTGAAACAGGTGTTGCCCAAACCAATAAATCAAAAACCAAATAACAGCACAAATGCTCAAAGTCAGATAGATACATACACAGTCAGCAGATAGATATATAGCCAAGACTGAAACATGTATTGCCCAAACCAGTAAACCAACAAACTAGCAGACACCAAAATGCTAGGTAGATACAGCACTAAGATAGATAGATACACAGTCAGCAGATAGATATACAGCCAGGACTGAAATAGGTGTTGCCCAAACCAGTAAATCAAAAACCAACAGACACTAAAATGCCACCCAAAACACCAAAAACAGCAACTAGCAAATTACAGACCAGCTCATGGTGGTAGACTAGCACGTGTTGCCCCAACCAGCAGAGCCAGAGGTGAAACAGATGTTCACCAAACCAGCAGACCAGCAGACCAACAGAATCCAAAAAGCCCCGCAAAACACCCAAACAACAGCCAGCATATGACAGAACAAATCTCAGCTATAGTCCTTAATTTGTTCTAGATTGTTGATTAAGTCCATAACAGAGTACACGATCCCCTTTGATGAAGCTTTAACCCAAAGAGCAAATCTAACCTTAATAATTTCATATAACTCAGACCCACTAGGCTGGACTCCATTAAATATACAATCATTTAGACACACAGCAGTGAGTGCACATACTTTTACAATGTTTATTAAAAGAAAGTTTCTTCATTCTTAGCAAGGTGATGTTGCTTTTAAGATGAGGAATACCCCAATCTGTTGTGCCAATTCAAAGAAGAAGAATTGCTTTGAAACCATTAAGAAATCCATAGAATGAAGAAGTATATCTCTTGAATGAGTTCTATATAGAGTATGTGAACATACATACATATATTGCATAACCATCTAACTGAACTACAATTCTAACTACTCTATAACCAACTCAACCTAATTGTAATTAATTCTAACTACATAACTGTGTCAGTTTGAGAATGGAATGATGAGGTGTAGCCGAACTCACTTAGGTGGTTTGCCTCCCAAACAGGCAGCAGCTTGTAGCAGTAGGAAAAACAACTCTGCAGCAGCAACAGCAAAACAACTCTGCACCATGCTTGCTGATGCATACTGTTTGTAGGATACTTGAAGGTTGGCAGGCTACTTGTTGTGTTACTACTGCTGCATACTTGCCGATGCATACTGCTGGCAGCACATTGAGTATAATGTTAGGTGATACAAGCCTTCCACTTAGCAGCATAGCTGGCAGACCTGCAAAAGAATAAGGTCTTTTTTGCTACCTTAAGCTGCTTGAATTTTTTGGGTTGGGCTGGAAAAACTATCATTTTAAAGGGTAATTGTAGCAGCATAAACTGCTCTTATAATTTTGGAGAGGTTAGTCTCAATGTTTATGTATGCTTCTCAATGCTGTATTGGTAGGCCTAAGCTGTTTTAGCTGACGTTTGTGCTTTTTGGTAGTCCTAGAGATCATGATTCTATAACCTCCTTATTTGAAAGATGCTTGTATGTTGATTTATCAACCCTGAGAAAGAATGCAGTGCACTTGCA